TCACTTTTAAATTCTCAGATCAAATGAAACCGACGTCGGATAATGCACATTATCACAACGGTGTGCATTTTTTCACATATATTAAATTTTTAGTTTGTTCTGTCTAGGTTCGTATTTTATTAAAAAAACAAATAAAATATTTGACCGAAATATATATAAAAAAAGTATATTTTTTATATCGTATATATCGTTTATCTCAACAAACAATAATATAGAAATATTAAATAAAAAATATACGTCCTATATATAGTTTTAGTATATAAATAAATTAATATATGCAAAATAGTTATAATTAAAAATACACATTATTAAAATATTATAATATTTAAATGCACATACAAAATACCCGCTCAATCGATTGGACAATAATACTAGACTTAATGCACATTATTATCTATAAAAATGCACATCGTTAATTTTGGTATTTTATATATTGTGTATTTAGAATAAAAACCCATGAAAAATATTAAATAAAATTTTTCAAAAATTAAATCATTGTTTTTTATAATATAAAAATACAGATTATTTATAATAATTATGGTAATTTGGTTAACTGGATGAATAAAGCACGTATTTCAGTTCGGTTTTTAATTTGGTTGGGAAAAAAGTTTGTTTGATACAAACTTAGTGTTATACATGGCGCATTAGTGTTATACATATTGCACATTAATGTGGGACAAACTGCACATTAACGATCCAAATTGAAATAACTATAATTTTTATGTCCGAACTTATATATGCTGGCTACTTTTAAATTTAAGTTATTTTGACTTCGATAATTTCAACTGAAATAAAGTTATTTTGATAATTTTAGAATTTATATATTTCTATCATTTCAATCAAATTTGAAATAACCGAGCTATAAGAAAAATATTATTATTATGATTTCTATATTTTTATGTACTACGAGAGCACATTATGATTATATGGATTGCACGTTAATGACTGTATGTTTGTACCGGTTTGCTATGAAGCCAACAGTTGACTCCATAGTGGAGTCAACCTTCTATATACAACAAATAAACATACCATATTAATAAAATTATATTAGTGTTATTTAAGTAATCATAGAATATAGTAGGTTTACTTGTTGTATATAGAAGGTTGGCTCCACTATGGAGCCAACTGTTGGTTTCATAGCAAAACCGATGATTGCACAATATCAAATTTAAACTAAACTAAAATTTTCGGTTCAATTATTAATTTTTTACTTTTTTAAAACTCAATTATTTAAGTTCTAAAGTCACCTTTAATTTTTAAATAACTGAAATGATCGAACTCTATGAAAATTATTATTATTATTACTATTATTATTATTATTATTATTATTATTATTATTATTATTATTATATTGTGAAAATCACTTGTCGCAAAAATGACGTATTTATCAAATTTTTAATATTTTCGTATACATATGACAATATTTTTTAAAGTGCACATCTAGAAACAATATTGTGCATATAATGTACAATTGTTGTGCATAAATTAATGTCTATTAAATTATAAATTGCCCTTAAGTAATAAATTATACACATTAAAGGTTCAAAAATTGTAAAATAGTCCCTTAACTATATCCAATTTCTAAAAATAAGCTCAACCCACAACAATGAAACACCCATTCATTTGAATCTCAGGTTCGCCCAATATCTGCCCCAATTACTACCAAATCGCAGCCCCAATTTCGCCGTTTCTCAATCTCAGCCTCGATTTCGCCCAATCTCAGCCACAATTTCACCGCATCTCAGCCCCAATTTCGCCGCTACCAAAACTCAACCGTAGCAGTTCCCGTCATCCCACCCTAACAGTGTCGTCGCCGCAGTCCCAAAGCATACATCACGCAACAGTGTCGTCATCGCAGGCACCGCCTCCTCCATCCGCTGCATCGCCTCCGTCCGCCGCCGTGTCGCATAGCATCAGTCAGTCCCCTCGCCGCGTCGCCGTCGTCTTCCGTCGCATCCGTCAGCTGCCGCGTCATCTTGCATTCGTCCACCGCCACTGAGTCGCCTCGTCTCTGACCACCACCGCGTCCCCCAGTCCCCGACTGCAGGCTGCAGAAGCACGGCGGCGGAGCTCCGCCGCTGAGAAGAAGTCGAGTTGGTGTTCTACGTGTGTGTGTGGAGAAGTGTGTGTGTGTGTGGGT